CTACTCTATACGAGTTCAAAAATGTAATAAATATTTCTAACCCAACCTATACTGGCTTATGGTTTATAGAAATATAATTATATATTAGATATATTTACTTAATTTCTATGCTAGTTTATAAAACTACAAATACAATTATTATTGTTATTGTTATTATTATAATTATTTATTTATTTTTTTTCTTTTTACGAATTTTACTTTAACATTATACACAGGAAAAACTTCAAACGTCATAGAAGTAATATTTTCATGAAATTGCCCACATTTCTATTTGACGTAAACTAATCTGCATATTATAGGTACTATGCAATTTTTATTTGTTCATTTAGTACATTTTGTAACTGCGTTGAACAATATTATACAGTTGATCCGACGAATAAAATGTAAAGTACCTTCGTATATCTTTGCGAAGTCCGAAAGAAACTTATTTTTCTTATGAAATTCGTAAAGTAAAGAGAATTTTATATTTTATTTGTTTCAACTATAATATAATTACAAACATAAACTATCGATAAGCAAATTTTAAAACGAACGAAGTTGTTGAAAAAAAAGAGAAAAAAAGCGTTTTTAATCACCATCAATTCTGTATACATTAATAATAAAATATAATATAAATATGTTCATTAGGTACTTACTTGCATAATATCTGTTTGCCGTTAACAACAAAGCCGATTAAAAACCTTGTAAATATTGGTAAAATCGAGTTTACATACAAACAACATAAACAAACGTTAATTTCTCGTTTTAGAATTGCCCGTTGAAAACGCACAAATTATTTTAAACAGTATTGTGCATACAAGTATAATGGGGGTTAAAAATATGTTTACGGTAAATATTTGACTTGCATATTTTGTAAGTGTGGGTTTTTAACGAACTAAAACTTTCCGATAGATTCCGATATAGTGTTTTATCTTATGTCGATCTGTATAATGTATATATATATATATATTATGATAAAAGAACCACTCTGTATAATACATATTCGTGTATTCCGTTTACCGACAAAATCGGTAGGAATTGATTTTTGCATAGGAATTCAATGTCCCGTATAACGGTTATTTTACACGGACGAGTTTATATTATATACATAGTATATAGAAAAATAAAAAGTTTTTTTTTTTTTTTTAAAAAAAAGGACATACACACTTCGCGTATCCTTGCGTCTATACAGATCTGTGAGCCGCCGCCAGTATATTATATTATTATATTTAAATTCGACACAATTTATAATGCACCGGGAAGGAAATCGGGGGCCAGCTGTAAACCGTCCCACGGTTTCACGTACAGTAATATCTTCTACGTTCGGAAGATAATAGTAAAAATAATACTATAGAATTTTTACTATTGTTATGCATGGTAACCTGTGCGCATGATTTAATTTAGACTTCCTATTTAAATAAAAGAAAATCTGGTGGTTATCGAATATCGTATACGACAAACGGGGGTTCCATATAGAACAAATTGTGTCCGGAAAAAAAAGACATGAAAACACGAGGTAAAGCAAAAATAAATATACCGTGTGTTTGGTATATTAATTTTTATTGAGTTTTATTTTGAAGTTTTCAGCAAAAACTACAATTTTAGATAGATTCTTATAATTTATATATTTTCGGACCCACGATACTTTTGGTATGATTATATTATTCGGTAAACCATTTTTAAAAGAAACAGACATAGCTAATTAAATTTATATAAAAATAATTTTTTTATAGTATAAATTATATCAATAATAACGCAATGTAACACACATATTATCATAGTGCTAGTAAATTTTGCTAGTAAATATCTGAGCGATTGTGGCGATTTTCTCAAAACCACAAGAATAAAATATATTATATTATAACGCGAACATAAAACAAAAATCTCACCTGAAAAACCTTCGACTATGTTTCAATTAATTATAAATAGCTCGTCAGAATATTTTGAAAATTTGACTTGGTACTTCTAAAAAAGGCTAATATTAAAATTCTATGAAAATCTGTACCGAATTAAAACAATAAAACCCAAATCGATACCTATTAGAAAACCGTTATTGTAGTTTCTTGTTTTTTCTAAGTATTTCCCATCCATTAGGAAACTACAAGGAAAATGTCAAAAATGACCATCAATTAGACAACATATTCTTTTAGAGATTATGACGCATTTGAAATATGATTCCTGGTAAAAAAATTGTTTAAAGACAGAAAAAAAAACACACCATAGTAAAATTATTAAAACCAATACATTGCGCTCAGAATCTAAAACATGTATGTGGATGCAACTGAGTACCTGGGTTCTCATTGCATTTTATTATTTTTATTGAATATCAATAATATTTATTAATACGTCCTATATGTATTATGTTTATAGCGAGAATTCGATTTTCGTTTAATATAAAATTCTATAACCTATAAATTCTAAACCTTCTCGCTATACTAAATGCAGTACTTAAATTGCCTCACCTCCTCCACCGGTTGAGAATAACCGCCATGAACTCGCGTTAGAACGTTAACCTATTATTTACGGGACGATAAGTAAAATAACAAGTAGCAACTAATTTAAATTTTAAATTCGAAAATAATGAGTAGCGGGATTTAATACCGCGCATCACACAAAACTTTAATCGTAAGAACGCGTACATAGGAAGCATTTTCACTCGAAAAATAAATCGTCGTAATATTATATAGACACCTAATTCGTTTTCAAACAGCTATTTAATTGATTTTGAAGAATTAAAAATTATATTGACAAATTATGACAAATAATGTCGAAGTTAAAAAGCTGTCATACTTTGTGCAGTTAGAAAGTTATAATCAAGTTGAACATTTTTTTTTGTTAAACATTTTAAAATTAATCAATAAAATGTTATAAATTCTGAATAACTTTCTAACTTAAAGCATTGTATTTTGGATACCTGACATATTCTAATCTACTTTTTTTCGAGTTTTGGTAAGTATTTTTTTTTAAAATCGATACTTCAAATTTCATAATAATTGAATCATATAATATATCTTGAATGTTTATTTTATTATTTTTGTTTTGCTTTACCTAATAAGAAATATTAGTAAAAGTACATCTGCTGTTGCTGCTGTAACACAAGTTTTTAGAAAAAATCAATGTTACTTATATGTTTGTAGTTTAATTCAATAATTTAGTTTAATTAATCATTGAACAGGACTTTAGGTTAATAAAAAAATACATCCAATTCACCGTATAACATTTTTATCGAATTTAAGTTATTTTTTTCGCAGAATAACTTCTAATTTAGTTCGAAATTTCGTTAATTTAAAAAAAAAACAGCTTCCAATCAAATTGTATTAGTTTTTCTAGTAAAAACTTTAAATAATATTTTATGTATTATTTGTCCAGCTTCGAAATCTGTCCACTCCAAGCATATTATGTAAAACCGAAGTTGTAATAAGTCCAAACAAAAAAAACTAATTATAAAGTTTAACTGGAAAAAAATATCTAAGAACATTTTCAATAAATCGAATTTGATTTAGCATACCGGTATTCATATTATAATATCGAATGGGTATAAATAATTGGAACTATTGGAAGACGAATGTGGTCCGAATTGGATATTTCATCGTCGTAAAAACTTTATCATATTAAAATGAATAAAACTGATCGAATTACAATGTTTAAAAATATAAAAGACGATGCAAATCCACTACAAGATATTGTAGTTAATGCGAGTATTTGAACACAAATTCTAAATAACAATTCAGCCTTGAAACAAATGGTAGCCGAATTGCAATCGAGTAATGAAAAATTAAAAACTTTAGATTTCTGAAATGACTATTGAGAGCTTTAAAGATAATTTAAGCCCCCTCAAAAAGCAATAAAAGTGACCAAAGAAATTGCAAGAACTTCTATAAAAATTCATAAACCACCTTGTAGAACAAAAATTTGAGTACCACAGATACCAACTTAAAACAGAGAAAAAGTTCCGGGTAGTTCGTGGATTACACTCTGAAACCGGCTTTTGCGACATTAAAAATTAAGAATCCGAATTAGGACATCTTGCTCATAATTTTACAAATATCAAGATTAAAAAAAAAAAAAGTTGACCCTAACAGCAAGGGCAGTGTTTTTATTATTGTGAGGCTTCGACTATTCTTCGTTGATCTAGAGCCACAGGCAAATAAAAAGACATGTATGAACTTGAAAATTTATGTTATCATAAAATTAAAGAGGAATCTCCAAGAAAAAAAAAAGAAGTGACACAATGCAAAAATTGTCAAACTTTAGGTTATACTCAAAACTACTGTGTTCTATAGCACCAAAGTGTGTGAAATGTAGTGGAAGATATACTTCGCTGAACTGATCCAAGTCTAAGAAATAAAAGGCTAAATGCGTAAATTGTAGAGAAGGTCATACTTCAAATTGAAAAGGATGCTCCTCTTATAAAGAAGTAGAGAAAGCTCACCCGAAAAAAATATTAACAATACAAATAATACAAAAAAACCTAGGAAACCAGTCACTCACAATGTTTCTTTTACACAGATGGTAAGATTTTCGAATAACAAACACAAACTCAAACTCAGACACACCAGGAAAAAAATGTTCCATCACTTTCCGACGTGATGGCTGATTTAACAAAAATAAATCAGAGTTTGGACAAGCTCGAAAATAACCAAACAAAAAGTAAAGTACAAAAATATAGAAAATGGGTCGGATACTTCGAATTGTAACGTGAAACGTTAACGGGCTTTTACGGCAAAAACAAGAACTTGTATATCTTATGTAAAATGAAAAAATAGACATAGCTTTAATTTCAGAAACACATTTTACAACGTGGACTAGTCTAAAGATACGTGGATATCAAATATATAAAACAGAACATCCAAGCAACCACGCTCTTGGAGGGACTGAAGTGATAATAAATGAATCAATCAAACACGATGAACTTGAAAAACAACCTCAAGAATATTTACAAGCAACAAGTATCCGTATAAATGACGGTGGTAATGACCTTACTATATCTGCTATATACTGTCCATCACGATATAAAGTAGATGGCAACAAGTTTGCTGAATTCTTCCGTACTCTGGGTAGAAATATACTCTCGACATCTTGAACGCGTATTCCTACCACACGACATATACTCTGAGCTTGATATTGTACAATGTCAACAGCTTAGTACACCACGTGAAAAGATTAAACATTTCACTCCATTAGAAGATGTTAATGTAATAGATGCCAACTTAATCCCTAAAAAATCACTAAGCTATGTTGAAATAAGTCCAAAAATGCTTAAAGAGTTTCCAAAGAAGGCTATCATTCGTCTTACGCACATATACAATACTATTTTGCGCTTGGAATACATTCCAGAACAATGGAAACGGGCAAAAGTGATTATGTTACTCAAACCAGGAAAACCACTAGAAGATGTCACATCATACCGGCCGATATCATTCCTACCAGGTTTGTCTAAACTCTTAGAGAAATGTTTACTTAAACGTCTAAAACCAATCATAGAAGAAAAGCATCTTATACCGAATTATCTGTTTGGATGCCGCAACAAACATTCGACAATCGATCAAGTCCAACGCGTCACCAACGTTATAAGTGAAGCTCTTGAAGAAAAACATTACTGTTGTGGAGTGTTCCTTGACCTAGCTCAGGCTTCTGACAAAGTCTGGCACAAGGGTTTCTTCATCAAATTGTGTGATCAACTGCCACATACCTGGTGTGCACTTTTTGAATTATATTTAACTGACCGTCAATTCCGAGTCATACATAAAGAAGCAATAACCGAATGGAAAGATATATTAGCTGGAGTACCACAAGATAGTGTCTTAGGATCTATCTTGTACTTACTTTACACAACTGATACGCCAAACGATAACAACACAACGGTAGCTATACTTACCGAAGATACGGCAATTTTGTCGACAAGTAAAAATCACCTAACTGCAACTGATAACTTACAAGAATTAATTGACAATGTCTGGACGAGACGTTGGAAAATGCCATCGATGCCACGATGCCATTTACCGCTATATGATACTGCTTACAAAAGCTGATGAAATCCAAAAGTTTGCTCACAAACACGAGACAAGATTAGATCACCATGTAAATCCACTGGTCATCCAATTATTAGGCAACTGCAACTCCAAAGACATTAGACGCCTTAAGCGTCTTTAACCATACGACTTAGTTTAAGAATTTAAATTAAGAGTAGAAGCTACTTCATTGAAAGTGTGACTTCATCAACGTGTAAAATATATATTAACATCTAATATGTAAGATGTATCTTGTTAAACATATTTATAAGAACCTTCAAGTTGTTTAAATAATAAAACTCCTGGGCATTTGGAAAAAAAAAAATCTATTAAAATGAATAAACCTGTAATCGTCACGAATTCAGAGTGGACAAATCGCCGTCATTTATATTCTTTGAGTATTTATTTTAGATTTTGAGTAGAGCGAGGAATTTACCTATTGGTTTTACAATGATTATTATGTTTTTTTCTATAAACAACTTTTCTATAAGCAATTTTGCTCCGATTTTCAAATATAGCATTTTTCTGAAAATAGTGCTTTTATAATTTTCAATTTTATTTTTTTGGTGTGATTCAGTGAAAAACATTCGTAGAGACTCGACATATCAACCTTATACATGACTTTTATAAACGTAGTTGAATTTTTATACCATTTGATCTATTTAAAGACATTTTAATTTTTCGAACTTTTTTGCGTAATATTTATTTTGTAGGTACTCTGTAGATAAAATTGTTAGCCAAAACAGAAATGCTTGAAAATTTAACAGGAGACTCATTATAAGTGTTACTCAGTAGTAAACAATAAAACATTGAGTTTAATGTGATATAATTTTGTAAACATGTGTAACCGAACACCGTTCATAATCGTTTTGCATTTCGTTAGCAAAGATTAATCGTTGCATACGGATATACATTAAATTCCCCTCTATATCCTACCTTTCCGACTTCTCACTTACAACATTGACCCACCCATCGTGCAAAGCATGACCGTTTTTTTTTTTTTTCTGTAAATACCGCGTTTTTTATTTTTTTCTACTATACATTATTATAATTAATAGAATATTATAAAGTTTGAATGTCAAACAACAGTACTCAATTATCATAATTATTATTATTGCTGCGCGTGCTGCAGCACCTTCAAACGGGATTGCTATTTTGGGTTTATTCTAGTGAGAAAGACTTTAAATGTTTTAACAAAACAATAATATTATTGTTTACACCTATATTATCATCACGACAGAGTACTCGTGTTTCGTTTTTATTTATAGGGTGGGCGTACATCTCTGCATCTACCCGTGAAGAAAAAAAAATAATAATAAATTAGACGGTTCATCCTACCCGCGGCGACCAATTATATTATACATATATAAGTATACATTAATATTGTACGCCCAAACTTGGTTTGCTTTTACCAGTGAAAACAGCGAACGTTATTATATCGAATTTTTACCGAGCTAAACAAATTATATTCCCATAATACGTAAACATCGAGGGAATAAACTCAAACATTGACAATTATAACAATGTATTATACCACTTCCGAAAATTATATTTTAATATATGCCATTATTATATTATATTAAATCGTAATATTTTGTCAATCAAAATTACATTATAATAATATTATATATTATGTCTTATTGTAGAAAAATAGCATAATTAATTTTCTCGTTTTTTTTTTTCTCGAATTTTCGGCAAAAATAGAGATTATTGCGCTGTACTGCGTCTGCTATAGGTAGGTATATAGGTTTTTTCAGCGACATTTTGATATTTCTAGTAGCTCCTTCTGGACCAAATGAACTCCTACTCGAGAGTTAGAGTTGTTTTGTAGGGGGATATAGAATGAGTTGAACTTCAATATGGATTTAACCATGTTGTAGCGGGTAGAAGGGGGTGGTGTTTTTTAACCTTTTTACACTCCTATATACATATATAAATAGAACCAGGGGAATGGCATTTGATATATGCATGACATTATACAGAGGTATTTCAACCTCGCCCTTCTTTCCATTTTTATGATCAAATTTCACCATTTTTTTAAAACCATATCATTTTATTGTATTATTATATTATTTGGATTTATTTTATTGTTTTACAAAAAATATTTCTGCTATAAAAAATAGGCGGGAGAAAATTTGATTTTCGTTTTTTTTTACTGTTATAAAAAATTAAATTAAATACAAAAAAATTACCTAACGCATTATGCAACAGTAGAAAATCTGTAATAAAAGTTTTTGATTGAAGCACAAATTATTATACAGGTAGAGGTTAGACGTAAAACCACTCCACACAGAATTAAAAAAAAAAAAAATCATAGACGATAAACTCGGTAGCATGGATTAAAAATCGGAATAATAATATCATTACATTCCTATAATATGTGTTTGATCTTTAGTGTGGCTACATATTCAATTAACGTTAAAAGTGCCGGACTTTTTGTAAAAGGTTGGTTAAGTACGTACGCCGATCCGCTGCGGAAAAATAAAACTAACGATGGTTTTTTTTATGGACAAAGACCTTCTATAGTAAGAAAAAACCTTAATAAAATCGAATTTATTAATTTTTAATTGGACAGTATTGTTTTGAAACAATACCTTATGTACTCGTGTATTTTATCAAACGCAAATATCTCAATTGAATTTTAATTATATAAGTGTATAATGTGACCCGTTTATCATGATCTAGCGATTTTAGAGATGATTTTGTGAATTTTTTTTCATTATTATGGAATCATTTAGACTTTAATTTAACCAGAATTTCTGGTTATCAATCGATCACCTAAAAATAGGTATAACGTTTATTGCTCATTCCTACTTTGATCTGAATTATTAGGCTATTTCAACTCATTAACTCAAAATCCGATATTATAGTGATACACTTTTAGTAAAATTCTCTAGTAGAATAGAATGTAAAAAAGTCTAGTGAGCACGTATTGTATTGACTAAATCATATAATGAAAGAAATGGAGGTATATGGTCTAAAGATGGGTAGTATGTACTAGGTATAATATGTGGTGCTATAAAATAACAATCTTACTGTGTAGTATTTAAAATACGGATGCACGGCGGTTTGTCCGTCGATGAACGTGTGTACGAGTGTATGTGTGTGTGTTTATTATACGATCATCGTAGTGACATATACTAATATAAAGACGTATCATGTTTAATATTGACCGGAGGCTACCTACCGTGCGAAATTGTTTTCTTTATTCATTTATTAGCATCTACCTAATTTTTTACTTAATGTCCTACTACAAGAATATGGAAATAATCATTACCTCGGTACACTGCTTGAAGTTCGCAAGAAGTTCATTGTTCAAAATATAAGGAGCAGGTACAAGGATGCCTAGGTTTCGATGAACTCAGACAATAAACACAAGTAGGTTTTCTGTTTGTTTTGTTACCTGGTAAACTATGTCAATAAATATTTATGTGACTATACTCGGACGTCGGGCCGCTAATAAGTGACGACTTGCGGGAAGTACATCCGTTTAGTGTAACGAATCGCTAGCCGACGTATGATTATGTAACCATTTTGCTTTAAAATGCTTATTATAATACAAATTATACAGACAGCCGTTTATCTTGAGTGACGACCATAGACCGTGGTATATTAGATGTGTGCTCAAGATAGTCACGCCTAATGCACTGCGTGTATTTTATATTTTATTTTAGTTTGGGGAATGTACAGACAATTGTTTATCCTAAGTGACGACCACGGACCGCGAGTATATTAGGTCCGTGTTCAAGACAGTCAGGCGTATTATATTGTGTGTATGTTTATAATATGTTAATGGAAAAATAAAATTTTAGACACATTTAATGTATGATATAAAACAAGCTGACAATATGTACAACTACCAGGTTCGAGGAGATGTGGACTAACGAATTACAGCAGTCCGTCTATAGTATCTGCAACTGCCGTATAGGTTTGGAAAGATGTATATAGTAAGGATTTTGGATGAGCAAAATAAGAGTGTTTTCGCTTGCTGAACCCAGAAAAGTGAAGATTTTATGGAAAAGATTTACTCGTCCCGAGTCTTTGTGCCTTCCGCGGTCTCCATCCTGACGGCTACCATACGATCGTCGCAGTGACTACATCGGGGGCGCCGGTGCGCAAACAATGCACGTAATTAATTGTGAAATAATTTACGGCGTACTTATGTGACAACACTGGTATTTTTGGTGATGGGACTGGAAATTTTACCTACTACGTCAACTTTTCTAATTTATTTTAAAAATATTCGATATTTAATGTATTTAGTTCTTTATATCTATGATATAAAAATGAAAGGAGATTCTTATTTGAAAATCAAAAATGTATACTAATTTATGCAATATGGCATAAGGAGTAGGAATAAAAAGAATTAGAAATAATGAAATAAAACATCTTAAACAATACAAAGAACAAAAATCGAATATATTCAAAGTTGATATTTCGTGATAAATGGATCACATTTTATAGTTTATATCGTTGATGCCATGTTTGGCGTTCGCATGATCATCGTACCACAAAATATACGTTCCACATAAAATAATTCCAATACAACATAGCTGCCAGTTTATCGTTGTGTACAGACATAAACTAAATAACTACATCCTATAACCTTTCTAATTTACCGTATACAACAGTAATATATCTATTCTCATATTACAGTATCAGTTTTTTTTTAAATTTATGATTTTGGCCTGCTACTAAACAAAAATCACTTTTTTTATTTTGGTTTTTGAGTAGTGTACGTCTGTTAATATTCACTTATAGGTACACAGGCGTTGTTCCTGTAAATAAAAGCAGCGTCAATCCTTAACAAAATATACTTGCCTTGATTGTCTGCAATAATAGTCTTAATTCTCTTGTAAAGGAAAAACTCGTTCCGAATTTAGCCGCAGAAATTATTCCGGAAATGTTGCTAGTTGACTATTGTTTTAGATCTTAGTGTAGCGGATAATGTATTGGTTTTACAAAGATGTATATTTATTTATTTTTTTTTTATGTGGACACATTATCAGAAAGCTTACTCC